AAGGACTTTTCTTTTGGATTGTTCGCCTCGGCCACACCTCCCCCGTGCACCAGCGCACCTTGGACACGCCCCCCTGTCTTCAGCCCCGTTTTCCTGCATGACGTTTTCCTAGTGTTTCCCCACTCCGTCGGATTGTGTCGTCCGCATAGGGTCCGGAAAGAACTGTTCGTTACAACTGCCCCGTACCGCGGTATGTGATTGGCAGGCCAAAATGACCGATGGGCACTCATGGTGCATCGGTCGGTAGTGAAAAGATTAAATCATTCAATCTCTTTACTGTGCACGTTTTAATCCGCTTAGTACTGAATATTTATATGGAATTTTACAACTCAAGGGAAATTTTAGTAGCCGAGCATAAAAAGAATAGGAGCATAACGCATCTGATGGTCATAAACGATATTAATTTAGGAACATAAACATATTATGTAAACTGTACTGTATATGGCTGGTCTTGGCAGTTTAAAGAAAAAATACACACCAGTGTTCCATTTCTCCCTAAACATTTTAAGCATCAAATGTTACATGTGGTTATTTCGGCAACGTTTTTACGTGCTCCTTCTGACCATATTACCATATACTTTGTGAAAATTGATCGTTTTAACCTTTTCTGTGAATATGCTCGTTATCGGAGTAAACAAAAGCAGACTTTTAGAATTGGATTCATAGGGATTATAATATGGATTCGCGTATCTGAATAAATTAATAACGATATAACTATATTCATGTACTGTTGCACAAACAGTAGTATAAGACTTTCCATTGATATGTAAATTGCTGTTTGCTGTTGCCCTTGAATAGGCCCTAACAAGAATCTGGGACAACTTACTGTACCTCATTATGTTTCGAATTGCCTTCCAGCTTTGATCCACCATCATCAAACAGGTTTGTTTCACAGCTTCATCAGAACAGTTTGTTCATATGTTTAATTCCACATAATTACGTTAATATATTGGTGACATCAGCGTTGCAGCAGTGCATTGCCAACACCGCCAGACTGCTGAAGATAAAGGTAAGTGAGTCTCTCTGAAACGCAGACAGACTTGGCTCTGAACCATGAACCAGTGCTGGCCTCATTGCTGACAGCCAAACTTAACCGTCGACCAACCAAAGCAATAGACCACAAATATTGCTGTTGCTGGTTATCTGGGGAAGCCCGTAATTGTGGCCGTATCCATACTGACTCTGTTAAAATCACACTGAGACAATAATGAATGGCTTCAGCTTCCAAAATCTGGAAAATTCTAAAATAATTAAAAAAAGAAAGTCAAGTACAAAATTTACAGAGATATCTGTGAATGAGTCACAAGAATATAGGGTCAGGAAGAAAATATTGGTTCAAAATATGCTTCTTGGGAATGGCAATTAATTTCTAGATTTAATTCTGCCTTTTCTGTTTGGAAATCCTGGAATTTGTACTTGTAATGGTTTTGACGTCTCAGCTTTTAGATTGCGAGATAGAGACTGTTACATCATCATTATTATCGCTTAGACCTTTGGCAATCCACCTTTTATTATGCAAAGCCTATTTATGTTATTAAATGCATTTCATCGCATTTGTGATTTGAAAAATTGTTTCTAATGATCTAATCCAACTTTCAACATTTTTATCTTCCATTCCATGCAAAAAAAGTTTGTATTTGTATTGAGTTTTGTTCAAAAAATTTCTACTGCTAACATATTACAGCTGTGGAGTCTATAATTAATACAAACACATTTAAGTGTAAATTAATATGGCACTGGAACGTTTTTATAACATGGCTGAAAGAAAGCCATGACTATAATTCTAAATGATCATGTTTACGAAATGATACACACAAACTCACTCGTAGTCTATTTAGCATTTGCAAGTTTCCTAAATTATTTTCCACAGTTCTTCACGTGCTTCATGGTGTTTTGAGAAGTAATTTAGGATGGTGAGTATACCGCTAACTGGGCTGGAATGGGGAGCTGTGTCAGCATGCGAGCTGTGAAGGAAAGCAGAGGGTAATTCCACACTGAATTATTGATGCAAAGTAACACGTTAAGAAAGCTTCATGATGTTTTTCTTTTTTCTATTTTTCAGCTTAAAAAATTACTTCTGCTTCCTTTATACCTCTGATAAGAGTTGCATGAAAGCAAGTAATATTTAGTAATATTAACGTACAGTGAAAAATCAAAATAACATTGTGCTATTATGAGATATCTTTGCATTATTTCGCATTAAGATTTTATTATTACGAGACAACATTCCAGAATTTTGCAAATGTTACTGTGTTTTACTTAAGTAAAGGTTTTACTTTCTGTAGAAGCTAATAAGGCAATCATACGTTGTTTTCTCCATCAAGCTCATTGTCTTCCATATGTTTTCCATTTAAATCCTGATCTTTCTTTGCCGTACCTACCCATATACCAGTACAGAGAGAAATTAAAACAACTTTCAAATGTCTTCGAAATTTTGAGGTGTCAGTTCATTCCCTGTTTTTCACACAAAGCCCACGGGACAGACGGCATTTTAGACTGAGGACAGGAAGCACGCCATTACGTGAAAGGTTATGAGATTCTGGAACAAGTTGACCGCTAATATAATCCCGCTCACTCCTCTCCCTCCCTCCGCCCATTATTTCTCTGTTTATGGCCGAGCATCAAACCTTTTTCTGCTATAGCCTCAGCCTCTTCATTGTTTCGTCTCTCTTCGTTCCCCAAATCTCCTTTTTGCTGTCCCCACATGAGTCCCCCCGGTCACTGATGTTCATGGGTGGTTATTGAGTGCATGTCGTCAGTCGGCACTTCATCTGTGCCTCCTTGTTCTCAGCCCTCACCATCTCCAATGCAGCAACTCTGGTCATGGCCCAGGTTACTACAGTGACAGGTCTCCATCCCTTCTATCCATCCCCTTCCATTGGTGTCCAGTCAGTGAGGTGTTGGCCCTCAATTCTTGGGCCTTTCAGTCAGATGACTGTTTATACTGATTACACTGATCTCAGAGTAGGCATTTATTTGAGAAGCATTCCCATAATTTAAGTTAATAGTTTTTCCAATGTGTAACAGATCATATGAATATCTGGGAAGACAACATAGAGATTTGAATATTGGTCATATCAGTTATGTTTGGGTTAACGCAAGGCCTCAATGATTGGCCACCCATCATTGATGGGGAGCCCTTGGCATATGTTCAGGGATGGCCATTAAATGAATGGACAAGCAATTGATATACAGTATTTTATGTCGATTGCAAAAGTATTTTGACATGATTTTCTGTGGTGGGCAGTATTACTTTTACTGGGGGAAAGTCAAGCTTCATTCAGAAAACAACAAATCTACCTGTGAAATCTGTAGTTGCCTGAGTTCAAACTCCTAAACATACAGTGAAAATATCATGTTTAACAGTAAAATTCTTTCAAATGGGGCACGAAAAGTGTCACAGGGTGCTAACAGTGCAGAAGGCAAAAGGATAACGGGGTGTGACTATTTGAGTTGGTGTGTAGTACTGGTATGGTTGTGTTATTCCTGTGAGTTTGTGTCCTGCCCCTAATCAGAGTTGTCAAACGCAGACAGTGGGGCAGGAAGAAATTAAATAAGGATGCAGGAACACACTTTTTGCTGAATTTCTGCAACTTGACATGGACATGTCTGACGTCCGCTGAACCATTTTGGACCAGACCCCAGACAGAAGGGGATTGGGAAAGTAAACAAAAGTGTGCTAGGTCACCAAGACACCTGGAAACCTGCATACTCAAACAGTCCTCAAACAACCATATTGATTTGCAAAGCTTCCTCTTGTAATGGGCTGGATAAACCTGTCCCCGACCGAGACAACGATAAAACCTCCAGCAAGTGGAATGGGCTGGCCAAAAGGGTCATGGATAGAGCAGCTCTCCCTTCCTCTGATGAGACCCTCTACGCAAGACAGATCGAACAAAGGGAAGCCCAGGATTAATTGGTCCAGGAACCACAGACCAGAAGAAGCACTGGAGGCAGAACTGAGGTGCTGTGCTGGGACTTCGCTTTCCTGGGGGCGAAAAAACAAAGAAACGGGCCTGGTGAGCTGATGCCGAACA